AAAAAAAAAAAAAAAAAAATTTTAAACAATTTAATAACACTCATTCGGATATTTATGGAGGTGACCAATTTTAAAACTTTTTTTTAATGGAATGAGTTCATTTTTAAAAAGGTTCACCCAGATTAGGCCAAATTAAAAAAGAAAAGCCACCACCTACTTTATCAGGCATAGTATTAAGCACTCTATGCACATTTTATTTCATTTAATCTTCATACCTGATTTTTACTCCCAGTTCACAGATGAGGAAACTGAGGATGTGAGGAGCTAAGGCTGCATACTGAGTAAGTGGCAGAGCCAAGATTCGCACCCAGGTCTATTTGATTCCAAGAGCTATGTTTTTAATCTAAGGCATGTTTTAAACTAAGAAATAAATGCTGACATTGAGCAACAATGTGTTGCTCCTTCTCATGAAAAGGTACGAGACTATGGTCTGGTACCACCAACTGGGCAAATGCCCAAGTATTTAAAATAGGATTTGGATACCAATGATGTGGCAGCAGAGAAACTAGACAATTCATGAAAGAAGAATAAGGAGAAATAGAAACTAACATTTACTGAAAGCTTGTTTTATGTCAAGTACTGCATTTGATGCTTTAATGTGTATTATTTTTCTTAATCCCAAGAGTCCTATGAGATAGGTAACATTAGTCAAGAAAAAGAGGTGTAGAATAACTGTAGTGTTTGGCTAACCAATGTTCATTCCTCCCTTTCTTCTTAAGGACGTAAACCTCCCACATTTTAGCTGGGCATAAGGCTGTCTAGAATAAGGCCAACATTCCCCAGTCTCTATTCCATTACTAAGTTCTGGCCGACAAGATATAACAAGAATTGTATGACAGCCTCAGAAAATTCCCTTAAGAGACCTGCCATAAGAAAGGCTTTTGCCTTTTCTCTGTCTCCTTCCCATCTGTCTGTCTGTCTGTCCTTCCTTCCTTCCTTCCTCCCTCACTCTCTCCCTTCCTTCCTTCTCCACCTTTCTTCCTTCCTTCCTTCCTCCCTCCCTCCCTCACTCTCTCCCTTCCTTCCCTCCCCCATTCTACTACTTGGAACCTGGATGTAATGGCTAAAGCTTCGTCTAGGACCATGAGGTTGAGGGTCTCACCTGATATATGGTAGATCTAAAAGGTGGAACCAGTCTACGTCTCAGAAGACTGTAAAACCATCATACCAGTCCTAGATTGTCCATGAACTTTTTTTTCATATGAAAGAGAAACAAAATTCACTGTGTTTAAGCCACTGTTCTTTGCAGTCTATGTAATTGGCAGCTAATCTTAACTTATCCAGCAACTCATTCAAAGTGATGGTGTAGGGTTCAGACCCAGACCCATAAATTTGTAAAGTCTATGCTCTTAGGTAGAAGCCTGAAGAATTCCTGCTTATAATTTGCAATTGATTTGGCAGGGAAGGGTGTCAAAATGCTGAAAAGGAATTTAATAGAAGAAGAGAAGGAAGGTTTGAATACGCTCTCAAATCAGCATACCTGGGAATCAATCAGAAGGAATATGCTACTTGACAGTGAAGAATTTAGTCTCCATCAGAGATGGGTAGAGGAAGATCTCAAGCACCTGCATGGAGCTGGAAACAGAGAAATAGAAGCTGTAAGGCTGGTGGCTTCCGTCAAAGATTCTGTAGGCTGAGGAGTAGGCACTGCAGAATGGAGCCCTGAAAATGGCCACAGGATGAGACAGACAAGAGTTACAAGGGACTCTGAAATTCAAGGATACACAGTCTGGAAAGGGACAAGCGGAATCATGTGACCCATATAAAAGACAGCATAAAGGTCAACAGGCAAAAGGAAAGGTCAAAGTTGAAGCTCTGTCGACTTGTTTTTATTCACTTCCTTTATACGGGTTCAAAAGAGCATTAAAGTGAATTTCAATTATGTTACAATTGAGCAGAATTCTAAATGAAAGGAAGTCATAGAACAGGGAGTTTACTATTATCCTTTGCTAAATTTCTAAATGAACAGCAGTGATAAGAACTAAGAAGAGAGATTCAGTGACTGGAGTTAGGCCTAATTTTATTTAAGATCAACCTTAATGACCCAGAAAAGGAAAAATAAGTTATATCTGCCCAAGATATTATTTTAAACACTAAGAAAAACTAAGTCATAATAAAATTACGTAGGAAATTTAAAAAATACAGATGGGAATGAAAATAGGCAATTGAAATAAAAGAAAAGGCAGCAATATGAAAACAGACATGGCACAAATTAAAATACATTTTAAAATAGGTGTAATAAATTCTACAGTATAATTAGGCCTTCCAAATTTCTTTTGTCTGGTCACAGGTCTAAGCTGCTGCAGGATCCTCTACTCTGGACAACAAGGAGAAACATGCATTCTATATAAAATGCAATGCAAACCATTCCACCAAGTCTGAAGTAACATGACAGATTCTGCATACATTTGTTGCTGAAAATATCGGTGTAGGCTAGAAAGATGCTGGAAAGGAATAACAAAAATAAAATTTGGAAATTCATCTTGAGATGAAATGAAAATCAGGGATTAGATTAGATAAACTACTTTTGTATGGGCAGTAAAAAAAAAGTCAAAAAGAAACACAAAAATACTCAGATGCCATCAAAAAGGTTTTGAAATTAAAAAATAAAAACTTGTTTACAAATTAAAACTTTGGTTAAAGCAATAATCTTCTAAATATTAAAATACTTCTCCCTTTCAACTTCCAAAAACAAAACAAAACAAAAATCACAAATTTCAGGCCACTGCAGGAAAATACCCAGTCTAAAAAAACTTGGAAGGATAATGTAATATTATTCTGCACTCAAAAGAAATGAGCTAACAAGCCATGAAAAGGCATGGAGGAAACTTAAATGCATATTACTAAGTGCAAGAAGTCTACAGACTCTAATGATTTCAACTGCATGGCATTCTGGAAAAGCCAAAACTATGGAAATAGTACAAATATCATTAGTTGCCAGGGGTTGAGGGGAGAGCAGGATGAATAGGTGGAGCAGAGAGGAATTTTTAGGGCAGTGATACTATGAAATACAGTATCATACTCTGATGATACTATAATGGTGGATACAAGTTATAATCTATTTCTCCAAACCCATAGAATGTACAGCACCAAGAGTAAACCCTAATGTATACTATGGACTTTGAGTGATGATGTGACAGTATAGGTTCATCCATTGTAACAAATGTACTGCTATGATGGGGGATGTTGATAATGGGGCAGGCTATGCATTAGTGGGGGCAGGAGTTTTACGGGAAATCTCTGCATTTTCCTCTCAATTTTGCTATGAATCTACAACTGCTCTAAAAAATAAAGTCTATTAAATAATAAAAACGGAGGATCTGGTATTCTTTTCAAGTTATACTGATTAGGGCCCTTTTCATTTTAGTTAATGTTGCTTTCACTCTGAAGATTCTGAAGAATGAAATAGCGATGGGGAATGGTCTTAAAAATGCAAATCTTAACAACTAGTCAAATGAAATAACTCCAAATGTGAAAATATTCGCATTAGCCTGGAATGTTGGAACACCTTTCCAAATGAAGAAACAGAATAAGTCTGGAGAATAGTGTATTTAATTCTAACATGTAGATTTTTTTTCTACAATAAAAACATTTTGTGGGTATAGTAAATAAGTACAAGAAAAGTGCCATGATTCAACTGTACACTCAGTGACAACTCTGCCCCTTCACTCTCTGAACTGAGGGAATATCAGATCTGTTAAGGCTTATATTCTTAAGTCACACAGGCCCAATTACTTAAGAGATTAGCTGTCATTTTATATTCTTTTCAAGAGCGAAGCTGCGGACTAAGAAAGCCAGGGGCAAAAGAAAGTCACCCTGGCGCTCTCAACTCTCAAAGAGCATTTAGGGTTCTCAGGAGGTGTAACTTGACACATTAAGGGTACTGGAATTGTTAAACAATTATACTGAAGTTTGTCTTCTTTTGTGTGCTTCAACTCTACACAGGTTTAGGACACAGGACAGTGTGACAAAGACACATGCCATTTAATTTCTTCTTAGAAAGCGGTGGACAAATAGCCTATTTTAAGTTGGCTGCAGATTTGCAATTAAAATTTTTCATACTGACATATTTTTACATAATTTTTAAAAAAGCTTTTAGCAAGGAAAATTTATTCAAAGAAGTTCGCTTATACTTTGTTTTTAAATTTAGGTTTGTCCTCTTTTTGCGGGGGGTGGGGAAGGGATGCTGCATCTTTCTGATCACAAAGAAAGGTCTTCCACAAATGTCATCTGACTAAGGGCAACCTATGGACTTTGGGAAGTCAGTTGAGGACACAGAGTAATGAGCCAACAACGAGCCTCCTCCTCCCTTCTGATCTCTCAGCACCTGCTCAACTGCAGCCCAGGAGGAGGAAACTCTTAGCTTCTCTCTCTATATGGGTATAGGTTGCCCCCTTCTCTAACGAACGTCGACACCATCATCAAATTGTAGGCGTACAATGAGTATCTAATGAGCATAAAATGATTGTCAACAGTGCCAGGACAAGGGGCAAACGAGAGCGACCGAAGGCAGACGCCCTCAGGAGAGATCTAATCACCTAGGAAGGCGAGACTCCAGACTGGAAAACCAGAACCCTGTTCCCGCACCGCCCCAGGACTCACACTCAGGTGCAGCGCCCAGACCGCTGGGGTAGAGAGGGGACCGCCTCGTTGCGGCCGGGGACAAGGGAAAAGCGAAGCCATGACTCACCTCTCCGGCCGAGCCACCTGCCCGCAGGCCCGGCTCGCAGGTGAGGCGTGCACAGGTAACCGCACCTGCTCGGCCAACCCCACCTGCTGCGTCCCCCTACCCCGTCCTCCGCCTCCACTACCTGGGTCCTCCTCCGTGAGTCGGGGGCGTACCGCTCCGACCTACCTGCGCGACTCCAGCCGCGGGCGCCTGCTGTCCCCGCCGCGTCCGCCCCGCGCCAGTCGAGGCGAGCGGGTGGCGGCCGGGCGCCCGCACTTTCTCGACTGCCCGCCGCTGCGGGCTCAGCGGGAAGCCCCAGCGCTGGCCGGCTCGCCGCCTCCGACCGGCTCCATTGTGACGCGGCGCCTTCCGCCGGCCAATCGCCGCGCCGCGGCGCGAACCGCTGACTAAGTTCGCGGGTGGAGGAGGAGGGGACTGGGCGGAGGCAGGAGGCAGAGGCGGTGGCCTCGGGGTGGCGGTGTTGGAGGAGGAGGAGAAGGAGGCGGAGGAAGAGGAGTAAGAGGAGTAAGAGGGGAGAGCGAGGATGAGACTCTTTCGGTCGGTAGCTGTTTCTACTGTTAAAAACCCAGGCGCCCTGGCCCGGGTGTTTGCCTTGCCCAGCTTTGGGACTGCGGGCGCCGGTGACTCACCCCGCCCGATGGAAACAAAACGCAGCTGCCATCGCCCGGGCGCGCGCCATGTGGCCGCCCCGGCCCGCTCGCCACGGCCTCTGGTCCGCGGGCAGCAGCGCACAGCTACACGTCTCTCAGGGGGCTGCAAAGAGCGGGGCCTGTTTTCAAGAGACGGGTGGGAGAGGGGCTGAGGGCCGCCCACCAGAGGCACTGTGCAAGGGACTTTGGAAGTACAGTATTTGTGTCGGCCCCCGCCTTCTCACGTGTGCACCCTCGAGTAACTCGAGATTTACATAACGTCTGTTGGGCCCTGAGGGAAGGCTCGGGCGGAGCACGTGGAACCTACCTTTCACACACAAGTTCCTTTACCTCTCTTTACACCGCGTGCTTTGGAAGGCTGCAGGGCCGAGATTTTGGGGGAGAGTTTAAACTAAACGCCTTAAGTTAGGATTCTGGGCCTGCAGTACCATTTGGCTCTCTCAAATGTCCTTATCCTCGGGATGGCGAGGGAACGACATGGTATAAGGGCCATCCTGTACTCGTAACCAGCGTTTAACTGCTGATAAAACTGCAGGTCTACCTCACCTACTGTCCCACCAGGTTCCCTCTGCAGTTAAAGGGCCCTGCGTTTAATTAATCCACACTAAGGAATATGGGGGACTTAATATTTTTATCATCCTTATTCAGCCCCATTCTCATTCCCATCCCAAATTTAACTCAGCTTTTTGCACAAACTATCATCTTCAACAGTGATTCAATTAGACATTTATATCTCTGAATTGCTATGGCGATCACATTCCCATTTTTTTAAAAAAAAGTTTGTACAGGGACTTTACAAAAAGTACAAAGGAAAGGCCTTTAGTTTGTTAAAAGTGTTAACCAGATATAAGGAGGTCGAAGCATCTTTCTGTGATCTGTAGATTATAGATCCTCATTAAACAACTTTACCTATGATAGTGTTGTCTTCAATAGTTTGTAATGTCATTAGAAATAAACTTGAGAATTTTTATCATTAAAAAAAAAGTAAATGAAGACTATAAAACACTCGACATTGGGGCATATGTGATTAGTTTGCGTAAATGGGAGTAAAGAAAGTGGCGCAACTGAGTTATGTGAGAGTGAGTTGTGTCCCACAAAGACCGTTTAGATTAGGACCCCAATTTGAATTACCCTGAGAGAGAATAAGAAGCCTGTCCTTATGACACTTCTCTGTTCTTTTCTTGCCCCTGCCATTCTGGGTTGGCAGCTGTCTTCTTCCTGAGACTTAGAAGAAAGGCTGAAAGAGCATTACTTCATTTGGTCATTCATAGAGTTTTTATTGAGCTTATGTGTGAGAGGCACTATGCATGTACAGATCTATTAAGCTAATTTAGATTTAGCCTTGGTCTGCAAACTGCTTACCACCTGGATAGGAAGATAAATATATACAGAATTAAATGTGAAACAAGGGAAAAAGTGAGTGCTAGAAGAGATATCGATTGTATAGTCATGACATTAAAAATTGAGAATATCCGATTTTCCATATGTATCTTCGAATATTTGGAAAGGAATATTCTCTCCCCTCCCAAATCCATGAATAGACAATTCATTCTTCTATCACAGCAGTATCACTACCTGTGTGACTTTGGGTAGTTACTTAAACTCCTTGGATATCAGTCTCCTCGTCTATAAAACAAAAGGTTGTAAACTACATGATCTGTTAAGATGCCAATTTCAATGATGGTATGAATGAAATGACTTCCGTGCTTGGTATGTCAAGTCACCATTAGCATGAAGTTAAAATGATCAAGTTCATTAAAACCGAATTAGGTTTGGCTTAATCTTGGATATGTAGCTTATAAATATGTTTATTTTATTCCAATTCTCATTAACGAAATCACCCTCTATGATGACATTTATTACTGACATTGGAGAAAATACGCTTCTAAATTTGTAATATTGCTTCTGGGAATCCTCCTCTGAAACTGTAACATCAAATAGATGTTTCTCTTGTTTCTTCTTCTTTTGGCAATGCTTCATATAAGTGAGGAGAAAGATAACCTCAAATGCTGTTCTTGGAGAACTTTAATACTATGCACATGATATGGGCCCATGAAGAAGAGAGACTATTTAGTAACTAGAAATTATTGGTATCCCAGGATAGACTTTATAATGAGAAAAACAAATACTGTTTGGTTTTTTATGCCTGTGTCCAGTTAATCACTTTGAAAACAGAATCTGTGGTGTCTTGGAAGATAATGCAGTCCTTACAGGAGGATCTGAAATTCTCTAAGGGACTCTCGGATGAGTTTATTTTGGTAAAAGAAAATTCTAAAAGACTCAGTCACTATTTCCACAGCCAAATTCATTGAAGTCTGAAATAGTGATTCAAAATATCATTATAGATATTTATGCACTTATTGTGTGCTCATCAGTATGCTAGACATCATGGGTGTTAGCAAGGAAGCATCAAACTTGGTGCTGGTCCCTGACCTCAACCCTTACAACATATACAAACACACAGAAACAATCAGGTGCTTCTTAGGGGCGAATGACTGAGATCAAACAATGCAGGTAGTAGTCGTCAGAAAAAGTTTTATGAAGAAAGGGGAACTTCAACTAGATATTTAAAGAGAAGTAGCATTTAAGAAGACTAACTTCTCTACTTTTGCCTTATCTGCCCCAAATATTGTCTTAAAATGACCAATCGACCCTCAGGGCTCAGGTAATCTCTTTCTGGTCAGTTGAGAATCTCTAGAAGAAGTAGAAGTAAAAATATTCTGCTTGCTACAACATCTAATTAAGTAGAAGAAGAGCTACTGGTGGGGTCTTCACATTCATGGGACAAAGGGATGACTATGAACAGCAAATGTGGAACAGTTCCTCTACCCAATGACACAACCATAGTCACAAATAATAGAAATGAAAGGATCACTATAATTTGGTCACCTGATGTTTGAATCCATGACCCATGAGAAATAATCAACTAAATCTTGGGTTAGACAGTTTCCTTCTGAGCTGATTCCCTGTCCCACCAAAAAAATCTCTAAGTGACATCAGCATTAAGCTATGTTCCATGTGCCTCCCTTGATAAAAATTTAGTTTTCCATGAGTCTTAAGAAAAATTTTTTATGATTAATGAAAGATAATATTATCCAATATTAACAGTTCTTTTCAATTTATTATGCTAAGTATTATTTATGATAATGGAAAATCCTCTACTTTAAAATAATTAAACATGTAATATCTACAGTGTACAAAAGAAAGCACTGGGGATTTGACAGAGGGGAGAGAGACTACCAAGATAAATGTAATAATTCTTTTTCTTAAAGATATGTACTCTACTGGGGAAGGTATATCCAAAAAGCACACAGCATCTTAAAGGGGAAGTAAGCTTGGTGGGGCATGTAGAGTTGAAAGAGACTTATACTTAACATGGGTCTGAGGAAGTTTGGCTAGCTTTAAGTTTCTAAATTATTTTAAATATTGTCTCAGCATCACAGTTTATTGGTTCTATCAAGATGTCAGTTCAGAAGAAAATAACAAAAGTTAGAAGTCATTCACGGTTTTGCATTCTCAGAGTCTGCCAGAATTCCCCTAGTTCAGCTGTGTATGAATGACCAAATTGTCATTAACAAAAAACTTTATTTATTTTTGGCCACTTAACCATATTTTCCTGACCTTTTCAATTTCCTGGTTACAGAGGTTTAACATGAGCTTTCTTTGGGCCTGGGGAAAATTCTGAGAATGATTCCTGAGAATGAGCTCAGTGGTGAGACTTCTGAGGACAGGATGAGTAGGACATTGCACATGTGTTTAGACTAAGAGCTTGACCTCGAAATCCAAACTGTAATTGTGCAAGGCTGGCTATGCACTTCTGTGTGAGTTCATCCCTTATCATGCATGGTCCCAGTCGGAAATATTCATGACTAGTTACTCTGTGTTCTCACCACCCACTGTACTGATTGCACCCTGTACTTTAACCACATACTGCGCCTTCCTTATGAGACAGGTGCCAGGAAGGTGACCTTCAGCCTCTTCTCCGAAGGAAAAACATCAATTCCTGCAGCAGGATGCCCGATGTCCCTAGTTGATCTGTCTTCTGGGAAGTTGTCCAAATATTTCTTTGAAAGTTTCCCATGCATCCTATTTAAAGAATATATGCTGTCATCTGGGTCACATACTGGAATCCAACACACAGCAGCCAACCAGTTATTGACACAAGTCCATGAAAAGAAGGTGACTTTTAAGAAAATATTTGCAAGTGAAGCCAGGCTGAAAGCTTGGAATTAAAGCAGAGCTAGTGCTCCTCAGCTTCTGCAAAGTGGTCTGGTGAGTTCTGCTGGTGACTGAGACAGTGCTCGCTGGGGTCCTGTGAGGATTCAGTCTGTCTTCCCTGAACCATGTTCAAATTTGGGCAAGAGATTTCCCAGTGCTGTAAAAGCAGCTGATTTCTGAAGCACCTCATAGTTAACCCTTCCATTTCTTTGGTTCAGAGTGACCCAGGTCTAATACCAGCCAGACCTTGATTCCTCCCCCGACCATTTTTTTTCCTCAGCGTCTATGTGTGTGTGTGTGTGTGTGTGTGTGTGTGTGTGTGTGTGTTTCTTGGCCTATTATAAAGCTATTAATTATAATACACTTCTAATACTGAACTCCAATTCTCATCTAAACTAATTCTCTTAGAGCAGGAGCTAATACCGCTCAGTGGTTTATTAAGAATTTTAAAAAATCACGACTATTTTAAAACACGATTCAGAATATTTTAGAGCTGGAGAAGAAAGAGATATGT